TTTCAGATCTTCACTTAACATTCCTAAGCTTTTTCAAATATCTATATAGAAGTTGGGCAACTAATGTTTAGGCAAAAAATTAAAATCATCGAGCACATCTATGTATGATCCTTTCTTTCTTGCTCTATCGTCAGATTAGCGCACTTTGATATACAGGGGCCTAAATCCTGGTTATGTTACTGAATATAATATATATAAAGAACTCTCAAATATATCAATTGCTATTTCTCAAATATAAATATGTAAGGTTGTCAAAAATCCTCTTTCTATGCATTCTTCTTCCATTTTCGGCACTAATACTCTCCTTCAAGGTGACTTATCCACGATGTGAGAGACTACACTTTTAGTTATTAATTATGTTAGAAATAATATAATCAATAGATTAAAAGTGTGTTCTCTAAGAGTTTAAGTTTTTGGAGAGATAGACACACACTTCAACATGGTATCTGGAGCGAGCAAGACGTCCTGAGTTCAAGGGTACTTCAAAAGTTTTGTCTTGTGCTGGTAATTGGTATTTCACCAGCAATATGAACTCGATAATAATAGAAGCATATGGGATGCCAACTTTAGCAATACAATTAGAGTTGATGTGGATTGGTAACAAATCGGACAATTCAATTGTACAAACTAAAAGATTGAATGACCCACATTTATATAAGTAACTTGAAGCCTGAGACAAAAGTTTCCATTTGAGTGTTGACAGAATATGAGTGCAACTTGTAGTCAGATAATATGTGTTCTTCCACTGATGTTAGTTAGGGAGCCCACCTCAAAAGAGAGAGAGAGAGAGGCTAGCCATTATTTAGTGTTAACTGTAAGGAGGGAACTCCATATACAAGCTGATTTAGGTAATCCAATACCATCACAGGAACAAAAGAGGAAAAGTGCTACATCAAGAAAAAAAAAGGAGAGAAACTAAGGGGACATTATAAGATGTTCCGTTCCTTCCTAAGTGAAGATATAGTGCTGTGTCCTCATCTCTCCACTTCCATCCCCGCAACATTTTCAAATTTTGTTAAGTCTTTTAATTCCTCAACATAAGCAAAACTATGGAAATTTATCTCTCTTTCAAATACCTATATATGCTAAGGAAGAGATCAGATATGCATGGGGGGTAAGATTTCAGTAATAAAGTGATCCTGCAGAAAAGGAACAGAGAGCTTAGAATTAATCTCACTGCCAATGAGAATGAGAACAGACAAAGGTATATTCTTTTTATACAAGTGCGAAAAATAGCCATACCCTGCCACCAATTTCCTCGTGAAGCACAGTTTGAATTGTTTCCATTTTGATCATCATCTTCCCCATCTTTCTTCAACTGACCAAGCAAGCATAAAGGAACCATGTTAAAAACAGCAAGAATCATTTACTAAAAAGAAAAAGAATATATGGTAATTAGGCTTACAATATGCTGGGAACCAGGTTGGCTAGTTGGAGAATAAACATCTTGGCCACCATAATAGATGGATGAACTGAAATAGCACGGTTCTGTTTTATCATTCTCATACATGGAACTTTTGTCCTTGCTACTTATGTCTCCTCTGCTTCTTTGGGACCCATTATCTGTTTTTTTTTATTTTAAAAAAAAACCCTCTAAAATGGTCAATAAAACATTTCTAGTTGAGCACAGAAATTAATATAGTAGAAATATGATTTTCAGCAACCTGAAGTTCCATATTTTGCATTTACATACTGGTAATTTTTCATGGTTGATGAACCTCCAACTCCAGTGGCGGAGTCCCTTCTAAGTCCCTAAAAAAGAAAGAACGAACCAACAAGTTATTTTCAGCTAAGAAGACAGAAGCCACATTGTTATATATTCTAATGAATGAAAAAAAAGAATTGGGGGAAACATTCATTAACAGTTTTCAGAAGGTGTAAAAGCAAGACTTATATTTTGTCATTTTCAATGTTACTACAAGTTAGAGAGCTCACTTTATACGGCTATATTTTGCATGCAAATGGAACATGTTTAGTCCTACTAAGTAACATCTACATGTTTAGATCACTTTTTATCTGGCTTCAGGCTTCTAATTATCATAGTCAATAGACATGTGTGTTTTTCAAACGTAGATCAATATATAAAGCTAGGTAATTAATAAGTCTGTTTCTTCGGTTATTCGTTTTCTACTGGTACAGAGTCCATGTTCAACCCTCAAATTTACAAACAAGAAATAACAAAAAACAGAGAAATGCATGACGTATATACCGTGGAAGGTGGGCCAAAGACAGAATTAAAGAGTGCAGAGGAAGATGAGGAGGATTTAGGAGTCTCCTTAGGACCAAAAAGGTCGTTGGTAAAGGACGAAGAAGAGGAACCACCCCCCACTTGCTTATTTGCCTTCTCCATTATATATACCAAAAAAAACAAATGATCGATCTCTGCTTTCTTAATTTGTCAAGTTAGTTGTGTCGACCAACGAACAAAACTACCTTAGTCTTATAATAAGAGTAGTGTAGATTTGATAATTGATGGAGTAGCAGTAGTTGGTGGAGTGAATAAATGCCAACTGTCCAACTGACACAGTTTCCCAAAAACAGAAATGGATAAGCTGGTCTTTTTGAGATTTCTTTATTTCTTATTCAGTAGACAGTAGACAGAAAAGAAGCAGAAAGTGAGGAGAGAAGAAGAAGAAGAAGAGCAGAGGAAGACTGAGGCTTGAGGGGAAGAACTTGATTAGAAAGAGAGCACGTGAAGTATTCAGTGTGGGTACTGCCCTGTTTGTGAGACATGTGAAATGTTCACTGCTATTTATAGGCGCTCAGGAAAACATTTAAAAACAAGGGCACTAACCCATGCCACTGGGGACTCCCTCACCATGCCTACGTAAAGACCATAGTTATTCTTTTTTCATTCATCAACTTCTCCCATGCCAATCCATAATTTAAATTTTATGGATTCAACTTTTAAGATTTTTAGTATTGAACCATTTATATTTTTAAAGCTATAAGTTCAAATGTACTATTTATTACAATTTTAGTAGATTTTATGCACAAATTTATGTTCCACACCGAAAGTTATTGGTTCAATTAAACCCGTTACCTATATGCTACATATGCCCCTGCACTCAATGTGGTACAATCCTTTTCAACATTGTATGATGGGGCAAAGACTCGGGTTAGGACAGTAGGAGGTGACTCTGACGCTTTTCCGATTGTTATGGGGTTACACCAAGGTTATACGCTTAGCCCGTTCTTATTCGCCCCGGTGATGGACGCGTTAACACACCACATTCAAGGGGATGTGCCATGGTGCATGTTGTTCGCCGATGACATAGTTCTGATCGACGAGTCGCGAGCTGGTGTTAGCGAGAGGCTGGAGGTTTGGAGACAGGCTCTTGAATCTAAGGGTTTCAAGCTTAGCGGGATGAAGACGGAATACCTGGAGTGTAAGTTCAGCGATGAGCAGGGGGAAGTGGGCGTGAATGTGAGGCTTGAATCACATGTCATCCCGAGTAGAGGCAGCTTCAAGTACCTTGGGTCGGTTATCCAGGGGGGAGGAGATATCGACGAGGATGTCACACACCGTATTGGGGTAGGGTGGATGAAGTTGAGGTTAGCATCTGGAGTATTGTGTGACAAGAGAGTGCCATTGATACTCAAAGGTAAGTTCTATAAAACGGTGGTTAGACCGACCAAGATGTATGGGGCTGAGTGTTGGCTGGTTAAGAACTCACATAATCAAAAGATAAAGGTAGTAGAAATGAGGATGTTGAGGTGGATGTGCGGGCATACTAGGATGGATAAGATTAGGAATGATGATATTCAGGAGAAGGTGTGCGTGTCTCCCATTGATGACAAGATGCGGGAAGCGAGACTTAGATGGTTCAGACATGTTCAGAGGAGAAGCTCAGATGCTTCGGTAAGAATGTGCAAACGACTAGTTGTGGAGGGCACGAGAAAAGGTAAAGGGCGGCCTAAGAAGTATTGTGGGAGGTGATTAGGCAGGATATGATGAGACTTCAGATTTTCGAGGACATGGCACTTGATAGGGACATGTGGAGGTCGAGTATTAGGGTTGTAGGTTAGGAGGTAGTTGAGTCTTGCCTTATGTCATAACTTTATGATATTAGTGTGGTAGAGATACTATTTTACTTTTGATTTGTATCTTTTTTCTTGATTTCATGTTGTTCCTATTTTTCATATTATTTCATATTATTTCTGTGGTGTTACTGATATTGTCTCCTTTTGTCTTTTTGTCTTATTGAGCTGAGAGTCTTTCGAAAACAGCCTTTCTACTCTTTCGGGGTAGGGGTAAGGTCTGCGTACACACTACCCTCCCCAGACCCCACTAGTGGGATTTCACTGGGTCGTTGTTGTTGTTGTTGTTGTCTCCCACAATAATAATAATAATAATAATAAAATATAAATGTGAATGCACATGGTGGGACAGGGGGGTGACAAATGGTCATGTTTCCATCTCCAAGCCCCTGCAACCACTCCAAGCCCCTGCAACCACGTGTCATTTCTAAGCTGTAGGCTTTTTATAAAGATCAAGATGAGTATGAAGCAAATTATTCAGTTTTAGCTATCCCGTTAACAAATGTTGAAAATTAGTTTGTATGGTTATAATATCGACAAAATTGTATTGGTCAAAATCTGACCGATGTGATCGATCCAATTGGGACCACGTCCAAATAATGGATAAGGAAAGATGACATTATTATGCCAAACCACGTATTCACTGAACGACGAAAGCGGATGCAGGGTGAGGAGGGCTATGGCCCAAATACTTTGCAATGACTCCATGACTATATATAGGGATGAGACCTTCCTTGATTGGGTGACTTTTTTCTCTCTTTCTCTCCTCTATAATTTCCTTAGTGAACAAAAAGGAAAATAATTTCGAATCTTCCATTAAATATGTACAACAATCATTTTCTCCGATTAAGAAAAGAAGGAATGAAAGGCATCGATAATTTATCACTTCTACTTTATTTCATCTATCATTTTCCGGTTTGTTAGTAGATCTGGGATTTACTATGTTTGGCTAAGATTTACCTCTTCAATTTCTTTAATTGATTTAATAAAAAAGATTTCAATATCTTTTGGTCAAACAATTTGGCGTCGTCTGTGGGGATTTCTTAGTGAAATTTTCTAGTCTCTTCCAGATCAAAAACCGGAAACATGATTACCTACCGAAAAGAGCGCTAAGGCAAAGCCCAACCCATGCAGGGCAAAAGCATAACATAGAAGGGGAAAGAGAGCTGAATACGGTCACCAGATTTAGAAACCATCATCCCATCAACTGTTGAGAAGCCAGGAAAAATGAGCAACATTACAAACCCACCCTCATTCACCAACTCATCGGATGGGGTAAGGAAAATATCATTTTGGCTCACCTCCTGCTCTTTGCTCAAGCAGGAACACATGCGCCGCGTGGGCGAGCGAGCAAAGAAACATCTCAACAGGAGAATGGAAAACTACTACAAAACAACCGAAATATCACCCACATGGCAATCCAACTACTAAAAAATGACGCCCCTTAAGTTGTACTCTCTCTCCATCACCAAGGGGTTTCCCCAATAAGGTTTTCCCGGAAACTTAGGGACTGAGACGACAAGGGAGACATCCCCAAGTTCAAAGTATAATTCATCATTCCACCCACCAATGACATCTCTGGACCGAAAAATGAAATGATTAGACAAGAAAACTCTGATGTATGTACAAAACGAACACGAGCAAAACAACGACGTTTCGTACCCTCTGACATTACCCTCTCCGATGCAAAATAAATCAAGCAGAACTGGGACTCCCATAGAGGATACCCGGTTCTCCAAGAAACCGGGGCTGACGACGGGTTAATATACGACAAAAGTTTGAAATTACGCCCTTAAGGCCAATAGCCTTCGCCAAAAAGAAAGGTTCGACCTTGATCAAACATCGACGGGCTTATATTTCGACGAAAGTTCGAAATAACGCCCCTAAGGCCAAGAGCCTTCGCTAAAAAGAAAAGTTCGACCTCGATCGAACATAGATGGGCTTATATTTCGACGAAAGTTTGAAACAACGCCCCGAAGGCCAAGGGCCTTCGCCAAAAATAAAAGTTCAACCTCGATCGAACATAGACGGGCTTATATTTCGATGAAAGTTTGAAATAACGCCCTTAAGGCCAATGGCCTTCGCCAAAAAGAAATGTTCGACCTCGATCGAACATAGACGGGCTTATATTTCGACGAAAGTTCGAAATAACACCCTTAAGGCCAAGGGCCTTCGCCAAAAATAAAAGTTCAACCTCGATCGAACATAGACGGGCTTATATTTTGACGAAAGTTTGAAATAACTCCTTTAAGGCCAAGGGCCTTCGCCAAAAAGAAAAGTTCGACCTCGATCGAACATAGACGAGCTTATATTTCGATGAAAGTTCGAAATAACGCCCTTAAGGCCAAGGGCCTTCGCCAAAAAGAGTAGTTCGACCTCAATTGAACATAGATGGGCTTATATTTCGATGAAAGTTCGAAATTACGCCCTTAAGGCCAAGGGCCTTCGCCAAAAAGAAAAGTTCAACCTCGATCGAACATCGATGGACTTATATTTTGACGAAAGTTTGAAGTAACGCCTCTAAGGCCAAGCCTTTGCCAAAAAGAAAAGTTCGACCTCGATCGAACATCGACGGGCTTATATTTTGAAAAAAGTTCAAAATAACACCCATAAGGCCGAGCCTTCTCCAAAAAGAAAAGTTTGACCTCGATCGAACATAGACGGGCTTATATTTCGACAAACGTTCGAAATAACGCCCTTAAGGCCAAGGGCCTTCGCCAAAAATAAAAGTTCGACCTCGATCGAACATAGACGAGCTTATATTTCGATGAAAGTTCGAAATAACGCCCTTAAGGCCAAGGGCCTTCGCCAAAAATAAAAGTTCGACCTCGATCGAACATAGACGAGCTTATATTTCGATGAAAGTTCGAAATAACGCCCTTAAGGCCAAGGGCCTTCGCCAAAAATAAAAGTTCGACCTCGATCGAACATAGACGAGCTTATATTTCGATGAAAGTTCGAAATAACGCCCTTAAGGCCAAGGGCCTTCGCCAAAAATAAAAGTTCGACCTCGATCGAACATAGACGAGCTTATATTTCGATGAAAGTTCGAAATAACGCCCTTAAGGCCAAGGGCCTTCGCCAAAAATAAAAGTTCGACCTCGATCGAACATAGACGAGCTTATATTTCGATGAAAGTTCGAAATAACGCCCTTAAGGACAAGAGCCTTCACCAAAAAGAAAAGTTCGACCTTGATCGAACATAGACAGACTTATATTTCGATGAAAGTTTGAAATAATGCCCTTAAGGCCAAGGGCCTCCGCCAAAAACAATAGTTTGACCTCGATCGAACATAGACGAACTTATATTTCAACGAAAGTTTGAAATAACGCCCTTAAGGCCAAGGGCCTTCGCCAAAAATAAAAGTTTGACCTTAATCGAACATCGACGGGCTTATATTTCGACGAAAGTTTGAAATAACGCCTCTAAGGCCGAGCCTTCTCCAAAAGGAAATGTTCGACCTCGATCAAACATCGACGGGATTATATTTCGACAAAAGTTCAAAATAACGCCCATAAGGCCGAGCCTTTGCCAAAAAAAAAAGTTCGACCTCGATCGAACATAGACAGGCTTATATTTCGACGAAAGTTCGAAATAACGCCCTTAAGGCCAATGGCCTTCACCAAAAAGAAAAGTTCGACCTCGATCGAACATCGACGGGCT